AAATATACAACCACAATTCAAATTTTCCCAATTATCTCAATTTTTTCTTTTTAACAGTTGGTTTGAGTCAGGATTGAAATAACGTCCACACACTGCATTTGGCTGATTTGTCTCTCAGTCTCCTTCAATCTATAGGTTCCCTCTTCTTTTCGTTTCCTCAGAATTTATCAATGGATGAAACTGGGTCCGGAAGAATTTCCCACATTCTGGATCTGGCAGTTTGCCTACCCATGGGGTCACTCACATGGTCCTCTGTCCCTGAATTTCCTGTAAGCTAATTGTTAGTGCTATGGACTGTATGTTGTATCCCCCAAAATTCATATGTTGAAACCCTAACCCTTCAAGGGATGGTATTAGGAGGTGGGGCCTTTGGGAGGTGATTAGGGTTAGATGAGGTCATGAGGGTGGTACCCTCATGAGAGAATTAGTGCCCTTATAAGACAAGGAGGAGCTAAGGGATTTCTCTCTCTGTGTGCATGCACCAAGGAAGGCCATGTCAGGACATAAATACCAAGAACCCGACCGTGCTGGTACCCTGGATCTTAACCTTCCAGAACTCTAAGAAATAAGTTTCTCTCGTTTAAACCACCCAGTCTATGGTATTCTGTTATAACAGCTCAAACTGACTAAGACAGATTTAGAGGCTCAGTCAGATTCAGGTTGGATGTTTTGAGCAGAAATATCTCATAGCAGTGATGTGTGCTCCTGTTGGGTCATACAAGAAGGCAAATAACACCTGGTTGTCTCTTTTCTTGTGATGCTAAAACTGACTTGTGAGAGGTTCCAATTTCAGGTTGGATGCAGTAATCATACCCTATCGTGGCCCTCCCACTGAATGCAGCTAAAAAATACCTGGACAGAATACACATAGCAGGAGTTTTTAGATTCTGAAAAGTAAACAAGCGGGCCAACTGGGAAAGAAGACTGAAATTTGAACCATCACTGAAATGGCAGTTAAGTTTACTTTTTCCCCCCTCTCAGAGTCCCAGGAAACTAGAAAGTATCAGAGAGAGATCGTGAAGAAGGAGGGACTTGGGAAAGTAACTCCATAACGTTATTTATGAACTCCTGCTGATCCCAAGCTGCACGTGCATGGATCTGGTCCTGATCAGCACACCAAAGATGCCGAGAACTGAACTCAGAGGCCTCTGTCCAGGTCCCAGACTGACCCCTGGGAAGGGCATATGCAGGACAGATGTAAACAGCACCACAAAAACAGTTCAAAACCTATTGCAATTGCAGCCCACAGAGGGCTGGTAGGAGCTTGTGGCCTGACCCAACAGGGTCACTTGCCTACTAAACCAAAAATATAAGCATTCTATGTAGGATTTAAAGACAACCCAGAGTGTCACGTGTAATAATCAAAATATCCAGAACATAATCGAAAATCACTTGCGATATGAAAAATCAGGAAAAATCTCAATTCTCATGGGAAGAGATAATCAACAGACACCAAGGCCAAGATAAGACAGACGCCAGAATTATGTGACGAAGACTTTGAAGCAGCTGTTACACAAACACTCTAACAAGCAAGCACAAACACTCCTGAAACAAATGGAAACTAGAAGGTCTCAGCTAAAAAACAGAAGATATAAAGAAGAACCAAAAGGAAATTTTAGAACTGAAAAATATAGTAACTGAAATAAAAAATAACTGCACCGTATGGGCACGAAAGCAAATTGGAGATGACAGAGGAAGAAGTAAACTTGACAAAAGATTAATAGAAATTATCTAATCTAACAATTTAAAAAGAAAAAAGACTGATTAAAAAATGAACAGAGCCTTAGGGACCTGTGGGGCAATGACAGATGATCTGAAGTTATCAGAATCTCATAAAAAAAGGAGAAAGAATGCAGTACTTAAATATTTGAAGAAATAATAGCTGAAAAGGTACTAAGTATGGCAAAAGACAAAAACCCACAGATTCAAAGAGAACCCCACACAGGATAAAGTCAAAGAAATCCACACACCCAGACACACTATAATCTAACTGCTGAACTAAAGACAAAAAAAAAAAGTCTTCAAAGCAGCCAGAGAAAAACGATGCATTCTCTATGGGGAAACAACTTGAATGACTGCAAATTTCTCATCGGAAACCACAAAAGCCAGAGGAAGTGGCACAATAATTTTTAAAGTGCTTAAAGAAAAGAACTGTCAACCGAGAATTCCATATGCAGTAACAATATCCTTCAGGAACAAAGGTGAAATAAAGACCTTCTAGATGAAGGAAAACTAAAAGAATCTATTGCCAGCAGACCTGCTTTAAAAGAACTGCCAAAGGAAGTTCTTCAGACAGAAGGGAAATGATCCCCGGAGGAGACTTGGAAGATCAGGAAGGAAGGAAAAGCAACCAAAATAGTAAATATCAGGGTAAATATAATAGACTATTCTTCTCCTCTGGAGTTCTTTAAAATATATTTGAAAATTTAAAGCAAAAATTAAAACACTGCCTCTGGGGTTTTCAATGTATGGAGGTTACTACCTAAGACAACTATCACATGAAGAAATCTATAGAGTGACAGGGTTTCCACATTCCACCTGCAATGGACAACACAGATTCAAAGCTGTCGGTGAAAAGATTGACTGCTGGTTTTGGAGTTTTCAGCCTGATCCATTCATCATCAAGCTCCCATCAGTTTTACATCTAATGGTTTTAGCAGCCATTGATGACCCATTTCTCCATTAGGGGTTAAAAACAGATACTCTCCTTCTCTCACTCTGCTGTTAACAGTGGGTAGTCTTCAATAAAAAAGAACTTTCCTAAGTCAGCTACTTAATCACTCAGAAGTAAGGGAAGTATAAATGCTTGATTCTTTCTTTTTATTTAGCAGTTTCCAAAATAGTGAGTTAGAACCACTATTTTTAAGTGGTAGATATGCCAGAGGAAAATGCTGGCTTAATCCCCAGTGACCTAATTTGGAAGGGATATAATTTACTCACTTAGACAATTAAACACCAACGTCCAAACATTTAAATCATACGGCGTCTTTAATTATGGCAAGGAGTGCAGAGGACGACACAATCATTTAGAAAGTACATGCTACACTGCGTCACACTTGCTTTTTATTGCCACTGGATTATTCTCTAGTATGTACGTATGTATGAATATATATATAAAATTACCCCCTCAGATGACAAAGTCCTCATGGACAGCAGGAAGCTGAGATCAAGCTGAGACACACTTACCAAAAGACTAAATGAAATATAAAACAAGTACGTCCTTGGACATCCTAAGCCAAAGGTGAAATCCTAGTAAATATGGTCTTCCCCTCAATCACTCACTTTTTTGCTTTAAGTCACTATATATTTTTAAAATCAATTACTCTGTGCCAGCCACTACACTAGGCACTTTTCAGATATTATCTCATCTAATTCCCACAAGAATCCCAGGAAGCAGGCTCTCAGCAGCCCCATTCTCACGACAAGGAAACGGCCATGCAGGAGATCACGCAGTACGCCAACTCCTGCTTAATTAGGACGGGACACAAAGCTCAGGCCAGACTCTCCAGCTCCAGAGTCACTCTGCTCAGTCAGGCCCCTCCCCGGTTAGTGACAGGCATCCTCCCTGCCCAGGTGGGCTTCAGTCACTCTGTTAACCTTTGAACAATCTAGCAGCTATGCTGTATTTCTGCCACTCGAGACCCAGAAGATGAAATAAGGCAAGAGGAGGAGGCACGGGGGAGAGTTATAAACTCCCCGTGTCCCTGCTGGGAGGGCAGAGCAATGACTGTTCCCTGGGAAGACATAAAAAACACAGGAAACAGTCACCCTCCTCTTCAGGGACTCAGAACCAACAGGGTAAGGGAAAATCAATTTATCAAAATAGTCAGTGATGTCACTAAAACTTATGTTTTGAAGAAAAAATTAATAACATGAGAAAACGGTCACAATAAAGTGGACATCTCAATTGAGCACACTAGAGAAGACATATATATATATGAAGAGAGAGAGAGAGAAAGGACTGGTACAAAACAGCCCAAATGTTAACAGTGTTTCGTTCTGGGCTGTTTTGTTTTCCTCTTTACACTTTTCCATGTTTTGCAAGTTCTTTACAATAAACAGAAAGAAAAAATGTTATGAAAGTATGTAAGCACAGAGAATAAATGTGGAAATTTGTCCAGAGCCGACTCTAGTTCCAAGGGCTCAGCAGTCTAAACATCTAAGGGGAGAGGAAAGAAGAAAAAACGGTGAGCAGTGACCAGAGTGACCAGCGGCAGGCACAAGGCGACACACTGGGAGAGCTGGAACAATACAGAAGGCAGAGAAGAGACGCTCGCAGGTCCCTGAAGCTGCTGTGTGTGCAGTGATTTTGGACACAGAGATGCTGACAAGGAAGGGACTGCCCGTGTCCAGACCAAGCAATAGTGAAGCTCAGCATCAAGACTGCTAAGAGGTCAAGGTGGGGCAGAGAACAAGAGGGCATGTGTACCTGTCTGTGTACTGATACTATGGAATAGTATACAGCAGGTAAAAGGAATTGGGGAGTCACAAGTCAAGAAAAACTTTAGCTTTCTACACTGTTCGGATGTTTTTTCAAAAATATTTTCTTATAGTATGTATATAATTAATATATAAACATCTTTTTTGAAAGATTTTAGGGTAGGAAGGAAAGGAAGCATGTAAACATAGGGTGTTGAGTGAGACAGTCCATCAGATGAGGGGCTGCACGAGCCTAGAATTGGCTCTGCTACTTCTGAGCTGTGCGAGGCTGCGTGAGTTCACCTCTCTCTACACTTCAGATTCCTTTTCTCCTAATGGGGATAATACGTCTGCACTTACAGAGCTACTGCCAGAACTGAAAACAGAGGCGGCCCGAGGCCCTGTGCACTGAGGAGAGTCCCCATGCGTGGTAGTTGAGCATTTACATAAGAAAGAAGCAGGCAAGAAGAGAATCTGGGGGCCGAGAGACAACACCTGAGCCCATGGGTGGGTAAGAAGCACACAGACGAGGGAGGCCAGCGTGGAGGAGGCGGGCGGCGGAATGCACGCAGAACACTCACTGCAGTTCTCCTCGTCGCTCCCGTCCGGACAATCCTCAAACCCGTTACACCGGAAGCGGCCGATGATGCAGTGGACACCGCTGGCACAGGGGAAGAACGTCGGGCCGCATTTCGACTTAGCCTTGGCTGCAGGAGAAAACAAGACAGGACGTCAGGTGGTTAAGTGTTCCGACCACTGCATATCCGTCCCAGTGACCCTGAGTGTGCAAAAGGGTCCTTTCATATTTACAAGTCCCCAAAGGCTTCTTACCACCACCGCCCACCTCCAACACCCAGCTGGACTGGAAGCCCACATGCACTGTCCTCTAGGAAAGGAGTGGCTAATCGCTGCTGCAAACGTCCCGAAGAGGCCACACACAGCCCCTGCACCTGCGGGGCTCAATCAAAATGCGCCGAACAAAGGAATGAATGGGTGAGGAGATGGATGATGGATAGAGCTTGCTCTTACGGTGCTGAAGAACCATCCAGAATTCATTCCCTGACGGTCAAAATAATCATCTACTTTTAGTGAGTGCTTACTATACTCGACAGCGCGACCAGGGCTTTCCATGGATCACTTCACTTAATCCACGCAGCAACCACCCCATGGGATGCTGTGCAGAGAAGAAGTAACACAACAGGCCTGACACTGCTGTCCTTCTAAGGTTGGCCCTTGCTTGGCTGGAACATGGATTTCGGGAGGGTTCGCACCACTGTCTCATAAGAATGGCTCACTGTGCCTAAAGCGTTTATGCAAACAGCACAGTTGATGCTCAACACCTGCTTTTCTTCCAAGATTTGGGATTTTGGTACATGCTAGGCAGAGGGGACCTGCGTGACCAGCCCCAGTAAAGATGCTGAGCGCTGAGTCTCTAACCAGCTTTCCTAGTAGACAGCATTTCACCTGTGCTGTCACAACTTGTTGCAGGGGGATTAAGTGCACCCTGTGGGGCTCCAGGGAGAGGGCTCCTGGAAGTTGGAGCCTGGTTTCCTCTGGACTTCACTCCATCACCTTTTCCCTCCGTTGGTTTTTCTTCATATCCTTTCGCTGTAATCAGCCTTAGCCGTGAGTATGACTTATGCTGAGCTCTATGCATCCTCCAGCAAATCCTCAAACCTGGGGGTGGTCTTGGGGGCCCCAAAGAGGGGTGGGGTTCTTATCCCCATTTCAGAGATGTGCTGAGAGGTGAAGCGACTTGCCCAAGGTCACACAGCTGGAAAACCTGGTACTGAGGTGAAGCCTGCCCGGCACCCAGACTCCGAAGCCACACTCTCAACCAACTCAACTGCATTGCGTCTCTGTCAAAGGCTGCCACTTCTTGAAACAGAAGCCAGACTCCTGCTCAAAGAAATTCTTCTTCCACTCCTGCTGTACAAACAGTTTTAACAGAAACTGCTGTCACCCGGGCTTGATAGAGTGTCCTGCTAACCAAACAGCCCTGTGGGGTAATGTGCTTTCCTGTCAATGGTGCCGGCTGCTCCAGCCTGCGATTACGGGGAGAAGATTAGATCTACTGCTGCATCCCAGGCTGCAGCCCCCACTAGCATCTCTCTTGCCTCATGTCTTAGAGGCAGGACCCATGGTCCTCAAGAAGAAGGGCCATTTCTTCGGAACAAACAGGCAGTAAATTACCTTCACATTCCTGCCATCAGTAACACGGTAACTTTGGCAACAGCTGATGCACAATCAACAGGGTTGAAGGCCTGGGACACACCTAAGTTTTAAAACCCCATATAGCTTCGTTTCCACCTGGAACTGCTGTAATGGTGCGAGTGTGCTCTTCACAAGCACAAACCAGAGAGAGCGTCCTGGGTTCAAAGTGCGGCTCTATTTTTTATGACCTTGGACAAGTTTCCCGATATCACTGGGCCTCAGCTTCCTCATCAATAAACCGGAGGCAACACCATCCTCTTGGGCTCTAGGAAGGGTTCAGTCAATCTACACCAAATGCTCAGCACAGAGCACGGCATACAGTAGATGCTCAACCAATGGTAACGCTTACACTATTTATCATCATCATCATCATCACCACTAGGCTTACAGAATTATAAAACGGATCCTTGGGCTGCTAAAAATTTTTTTCTGATTACGAAAGTTTAAAAAGCTCATTTTGGAAGATCTCTGTGAACTGATATGAAGTGATCTCCGGGATAAACTGTTAAATGAAAAAAGCAAAGTGCAAAAGAGTATGTACAGCACTTTAACCCTCGTATAGCAAACGAAGGGGATATAAGAAAATAAACAAGTACTGGCTCATCTGTGCAGAAGAAATACAGGAAGGATAACCCAGAAACTGGTTACCAACAGTGGGTGGGTGGGAAAGGGGTGGAAAGAATGGGGTAACGGGACTGGAAGGAGAGATGAGAAGGGTGCACATGTCTCTGAGTCTACCTGCATAGCTCTGGCTCTTAGAACCATGACAATATTTCACATAACAATTAAGATCAACCACACCAGTGGCGGGGGACTCAATGGAAGACAAACAGCAACAAAGGAACATAACTGCATTACAGATGAATAACACCACCACAGTGAAGGGAGTGAGGAAGAAAAGAGCTAGCATAAGTAACTCAGGAAACCATTCCCTGACTGATTTATACGGCTAAAGAAAAAAAGAGTTGTACACAAATACTGCACGCTAGTTGTATTTGTTTGTCACAGGGGTACGGATCAGCAATTCTGAAACTACCTTTTATGTGTAGGAGGGTTGAACAAATAAGTCAATATATTGCAGATACCAAGAGCGAGGTTTCTCACTATCAGAGGAAGAAGTTACAAATAAGGAGTGGGAGGGCTAAAATGAACCCTGAGGCTCTGGACTGGATTGAAGACATCAGTATGAACTCAGGGTTTGTAAAGACAGATAGATGACAGATAGATAGATGGATGAAAGAAAAGAAAGAAAGAAAGAAAGAAAAGAAAGGGAGGGAGGGAGGAAGGAAGGAAGGAAGAAAGAAAGAAAAATGATCTGTGTGTGTGCATGGATTAGTGTACATACACATAAGCTCTAGCCCCATCTGCTAAGAAAGACCAGAAACAATACACCTCAATAGCAATGAGCACACCCAGCACCCAGATCTTGGTTTCTAAAAACCATTATCCCATAAAGAGAACCAGGGCTCCTTGGAGAAGTGGTTGATTCCAGGGGGAAAACACAAGATGAACCTGGAGTGTCCTGTGTTGCCAAAAAGTAAAGAAGTGCTCAAAATATGATGGAGGCACGTCAAAAGGACACAGAGTCAACCAGAGGGGGCTCCGATGGCCAAAGCAGGAACAATCTGAGCAAGAAAATAAATAATAGTATTGGATCATAACCCAGAGAAGAAAATAAACACCGGTGAGTCCATACTGATACCGTAAATTTTTAAATAAATAAATGGGGGACAAGGGAAAGTTCTTCCTTACAGAAGAATTCCAATTAATAAAACGTGGAGGGGATGTGGGAAATATAAAGTCACCATTAAGCAAATAGCACGGTAATAACTATTACAGGCAAGACCCAGAGATGGATGCACACAGGAGGGGACCAGCCAGCCTTGCTCTGGTCATCCTTTCAGGGATCAGGGAAGAAGGCTGCCCACAGGCTTTGACATCTAAGTTGAAAGCATTTCTTTGCAAACCTCAACATGTCACTCCCCCCTTCAGAACGTCATTGCCCTCCCATCGCCTCGGAAAAGCCTAAAGCCCCATCACAGCCCCGTGCAGCCCCGGATGCCTCTCCAATTTCATGCCTACTCCCTCTCTGTGCTCTGGCCACGCTGGCCTGCAGCTCCTCCTGGAGCCCGTCAGGCACAGTCCCACCCCAGGGCCTTTGCACCTTGCTCTTCTCTCTGCCTGGAATGCCCTCGGCCAGGGGTCGGCATGGCCCGGCCTCCACTTTATTCAGGTCTCTCTAACCACTGCCCTGCAGACCGCAGAAACGCCGACTCCCACCCTCAGCCACTGGAGCCCTTCCTCTGCTTTTCCTTCTTCTCCTTCACGGGAATGACGTCACCAGTTGTGTTGTGCTGTCTGATAAACATACACTAGTTTGAATACTTTCCTTCACCACCTCTGAAGGAGCTGCACTGTCCATTGCCTACAGCAAGTGTCTAATAAACATGTGCCCGATATACAAATGAGCCTATAAAAGGAGAGAGTGGGACTGGGTGATAATAGCTAGCGTTTACCAAATGCTTAGTATGCACTAAGTATTGTGTTCTACATTTACAGATAGCATCTCATTTACTCCTCACCAAAACCCATTTTGGAGATAAGAAAGCTGAGGTCCAGAAGAGGAGGAGCTGGACACCGCTAATAAACAGCCAAGGCTCAAACCCTGCTCTTCACTCATCTGCTCTACTGCCTCCTCAGATATTTCTAAGGCCCCATCCACTCCAAAGGACTAGGCTTTATGGAACAAAGAAAGAGACAGTGAGAATATGAATAACTGTAAATGAATTAGCTACCGTTGGATTAACCAGCTCTCGGGCCCTGCCCCTGCCCCCTCTTCAGGAACCGCTCATGAGACTCCAGGCCTCGTCAGCGATGCTCCGTGCCGGGCTGCCGTCTCGGTCAGAGGAGCCTGTCCCGTGATGACTGACATCTGCACCATCAGACGCCCGCGAAGGAACCGCCGCGGTGGATCACAGGCGGCCAGCCGAGCGCCCGGCAGAGGCTCAGAGGGAAGCCAGCTGCTGACAGCAGCTGTCGGCTGCTCCCCGCCCGCACGACCCACCGTGGGGCTCAGGGGGGTTCTGGACAAAGTCTTGATTGTGCCCCCCTCACCCCCATTTCCACAAAGGGGAGATTTCAGCATGAAACTCAGCAGGCTCCAGCAGAAGGCGGAAGACAGCCTGTGTCTAAAATCGCCCGGGCAACGGTGCACGGGGCGGCTCCGTTCCACTGAACACTGGAAGGCACCACTTTCCAAGGACCTGCTCCACGAACTTTTCAAAGCGGCAGCTCTGACCAGCAGCAAGACAGCATGCAGCTCTCCTAGAGGCTAGTTTATTTCCTGATCTGAGTCCTCCCCACCTTAGAGCCCGGTTGTCATAGTTCTAGATTTCACAGATCAGTAAAATCAAAAATGTTTAAAAACTAGATGGGAGTGGAGGAAGGACTAACATGGTTGCCAACTCTACTTCACCAACAAGGACATAAACAA